GTCATACTGTGTACTGTACTGTACTGTATATATGTATATATATATAAAATTATATATTATATTATAAATTATTATATGGTTAATAATATTATATACAGTACAGTATAATATATACAGTATAACAGTATAATAATTTGTTATATATATATATATATATAACTGTAAATGTGTCATAATATTTTATATTATGATATATATCATAACAGTATAATAAAAATAACGTCAATTTTATGAAAGAGAATTAAAATTTCTACTCGGCAATAGATCCACCGTGTTTTTAATTATTTCTTCCACTAATTTCGGCAACCGTTTAATTAGTTCGTCCATTATTTCTGTTCCTATTTGGTTCCAAGTTATCGTGAAACGAAGTCAGCATACGTTTTCAACAAACGGAATTAATTCCCGCTATAAGCGGGAAAACGTATCGGTATAAATAACAAAAGCTCACAACTCAATACGCCCTTTCGACGATCCGATGCCATATAAACTCGCAGGCATTATCTAAACCGAATGAAAAACTACAATTTATACGAAACAAAAGTGTCCTAACACTTTCGGGTGAGGAGCGTATATCTTGAAACAATGATGCAAAATAAAGTATAATACATCTGCCGCAGTGAAAGTTTGCTCGTTCGCGCGGCGCGGTGTCTTCCGTGGAAACACGCCTCCGGCTTTACGCAGCTAGAAAACTTGAAGAGATAATGGTGCATTTGCACTTCACAGCGAGGACACAGAGTATATACGCATTTGGCTAGAAACCGAAGATAGGAATAGCTGGGACGGTTCCTTGCATGGGCAAATATTTATTCAGCGGTAGGCGTATTCAGCCTGGCCGGTGTTTATCCGCGCGTATATCCATCGTCCCCGTCGGATCGTACGCACGGCGGATTGATTTTTCGATTCGCAACGAAAGTCCACGAATTTTTCTGGCGAATCGAAAACTATGATCGTACTTCGCGCGTTCGATGTCCTACGATCGCGATTCGTTCAAAACGTGAAACTACGAAAATCAGCTTTCGCGAACGAATCCGTTGGAAAACGCTCGCCACGGACGCTATCTCCATTTTCGGATCCGGAGTGATGTGTCAGATCGGCTTATAAGCTTTCGGTGTTTTGGCGCGGCAGCATTTTTCGATCGAAAAAAGAGGAACATCGGGGGAAAAAAAACTGCTAGCGATCTGCAGAGTGGTTATGTTTTAACGTAAATCATTCCTGTCCATCGCTGTTGGCGCAGGAAGATTAATTTTACACGTGGGTTCATTCGAAGCTGTAACACGTGGTACGATATTCAAGAATAGCGTTCTTCCGCCGAGGCGTTCGAGAATATTATCACCGTCGAGATATTCAAGAATACCATTCCATCGCGGTGTCCAAAGATGTCATTCCTTCATGACATTCTAGAATATCGTTGGCTCGTGATATTTGAGAATAAAATTCCCTCATTTCCGCGAGCCATTCAAAGATATCACTTCTTCGAAACATTTGAAAATATCAATCTCTCGTAATATTTAAGAATATCATTTTTCTAAAGATATTGAAATATATATCAATAATAATAATATTCATAATGTTCTAGAATATCATTCTTTTGCGATATTCACAAGAATGTAATTCGTCGTGATGTTTAAAAATATCGTTGCTTCGTAGCATTCAAGAATTCCCTTACGCTGCTCAAGAATTTAATTCCTCGTGATATTCAAGAATATCATTTTCTTGAAATATATCATTCCCTCATAATATTCTAGAATATCATTCCTCAGTGATATTCAAAAGAATGTAATTTCTCGTGATGTTTAAAAATATCGTTGCTTCGTAGCATTCAAGAATTCCCTTACCCTGCTCAAGAATATTATTTCCCCGTGATATTCAAGAATATCATTTTCTTGAAATATATCATTCTCTCATAATATTCTAGAATAGCATTCCTTGGCGATATTCACAAGAATTTAATTCCTCGTGGTGTTTAAAAATATCGTTGCTTCGTAGCATTCAAGAATTCCCTTACGCTGCTCAAGAATATTATTTCCTCGCGATATTCAAGAATACCATTTCCTCGTGATATTCTCCAAGCTCCCCAGTTATGTTCTACTTAAATATTTGACAACCAAAGAAGATTATACATCTATCGCGGTAAATGCAGAAAAATGTGTATATATAAGTACTTGTCAGTTTCGTAAAAGCTAAAGTTAACAACTGTGTCGCCTCTACTGGAATATCATTGCGTGACTGCAGATCAGTTAAAATTCACTACAAAACGTTAAGAGAGCGGGAGAATTTTATTATTATTATTATTATTATTACTACTTTATTACTACTTTATTACTAATATTATTATTATTACTACTTTTTATTACTAATATTACTATTACTACAACTTTATTATTGATACTACTATTATTACTATTATCATTACTTTCAAGATAATAAATCAATTTTTACCTAAAATTTCGCATAAAGATCCACAGTCGAATAATTGTCTAAATTCTGATTTAACGAGCTTTTTATTTGTTCGGAGGATGCTTCTGATGTAGTGTTCCGCGAAGAAATGTGGATACTTGGTGGAAAACTTACTCAGCCAATTGAGCTGGTCGTTGTGTTCCAACTTGTTCTTGAAACTATCGACTTGCCGCTTGAGTTCACGAAGAGCGAACGATGGTGACGCGTACAGAGCTTCTTGCTGCTCCCGAAGTTGCCGTTCCAAGGCCGCCACACGTCTCTCGAGAGCCCACAGCACTTCCGCCTCGATCACCCCCGACGAGGCCGGATGCGCTCCGACGATCTTCAAGAGAGGAAACACGTTTTACGATCACGTTCCAAGTTCAAATCTCCATGTCTACAGAAAGCATGTCGTGAGGAAACAGTAATCGGGTAACAGGTTGAACCATCAAACCCGATCAATACAACGTGTCTGCTTATGCTAGTCGCAGACTTTCGGGAAACCCATTTATCGTACCTGATATTCACCGAAAAAGAGGATAGTCAGAAATGTCTCGATCGGTTTCATGAAAAAATAATGCTTCAACGAGCTTCATTATTATTGGGTTGGCAACTAAGTAATTGCCGATTTCAGTTATAGATGTCTCTCACTCTCATTTTTATGATATCCGTAAATGTTATATTATAAAATTATTATTATTATTATTATTATTATGTTATTTTTTATTATCCGTGACTGTTAGCAACTGGACAAATTGAATGCAGCGGTCAAGGAAAAGCGACCAGAATTGGTCAATCGTAAAGGTGTCATTTTCCAGCAGGACAATGCTAGGCCGCACACGTCTTTGTCCAGTCGGCAAAAATTAATGGATATTAGTTGGGAATTGATGTTACACCCACCATATAGCCCTGATCTCGCGCCATCGGATCACCACTTATTTCGATCCCTGGACAACTTCCTTCGTGGTAAAACTTTGAATGACGATGACGCTGTAAAATCTCACTTAACTCAGTTTTTGGCCGAAAAGGATCAGACTTTCTACGAGCGTGGAATTTTCAAGTTGTCAGAGAGATGGCAAAAGGTCATCGAACAAAATGGAAAGTACATTACAGATTAAACTTCGTTCCAAGTAAAAAAAAATCTTTATTTCATTGAACAAATCGGCAATTA